CGCTGCAGTGGAGGGCTCGGGAAATTTCGACCACCTGGGGTTCCCAAATCCGAGCACATAGGCCTACAACATTTCCACCTCCATCGGAAATGCAGCCGCCACAGCCGGGATTCAATTCCGCGACCTGCGGGTCAGCAGCCGAGTACATTAGCCACTAGACCACCGCGGCAGGGCTCGTTTAATGGGAGTCCATTACATTAGCTTGGAAAAATGAAAGGACCTTGAACAGGGGGTGTTGCTGGAGCCAGTTTCTTGACAAAAACAAGACCACTAGTCAAAACGTTGACTCCAGCGACACCTCCCGTTCAAAGATTTTTTTTTTTTTTTTTCTCTCCAGGACTATCTTCCCAGAACTTGTCTTATTCTTGATGTGTGGGGTTTAACGTCCCAAAACCACCATATGATTATGAGAGACGCCGTAGTGGAGGTGTCACAAACGACTCCAATTTTCGGAGCATCCGCGGGCCCCATCTTCCAAGGAAGGGCGTTTTTGTGTTGGGAGACGACATCCGGCGACTATAACGACCCAGTGTGGCGCCGGCTCGTCTTCCCTGCCCTGACCGGAAGGGGAACCGGTGGTCTCAACAAGGAGAATTACTCCCAGATGAGACGGGAACACGTGTACGCCCCTGAAGAGGTTTAGACTGCATCGGCATAGGCAGTTGACGTACAGACAGCAACCAGTGCGGTCGTCGGTGTCGCGAGTCTCGCGTAGGCGGCGAGCACGGAGTGACCCGCGCAACGTATTGAGACGGCTGCAATTCCGGGCACCCTCGTCGTCTACCAAGCCGGCGAGACCTTCAGCGGCACCCGTCAACTCCCCTACGTGCACCAAGGGCTGGTTGGTCCGTATGGAACTTTTTATTGTGACTTTTTTGTTAAACCGTAAACTTGTTTTAACCAGCCTTTTTTTTAAATATTTGTAGTGTGCGCTGCGTCGCACGTTTAAATTCTAAAGCGCCACCATGATCATTCTGTAATTAATTTATAGTGTCTCTCTCTTTTGATTTCCATCTTGTTGTTATTTTATTAATGTTCCGCATATTTGTCCTTAGCCTGTATCTGTTGTAGTGTTTTTAGCACCTTTTGTTATATAGCTGTTGTTTCTATCGCGCGTATCAGTTTTTCCTCCTTTGTTATTTTTGTAATCTCCTGCCTTGGCCCCTGTTTCAATTAAATGTTTGTCTAAGTGTAATCAAACTCTGTGTCTGCTCTATGAGTGCGTCGGTCAGGCCCACATCACCACACGTGCAACCCCGCACGGGTCGGCCAACCCGCAAATAAATTCGAAATGTGCCACTTCGAGGCCTTTCAGGCGTCGCAGGCCGAAGCGTAAAGCGGAAGCCTGCGAGTCTGCCGCACGTCGATGTTGGATCGGCGGGGCCTCACCAGAAGTGCGTGACATTATCTGGCGTCCGCGACAGGACTGGCCGACCGCGTTGTGATGTCTGGGAGACAGACGTAACTCTGAGCGTGCAGTATGTAGACGTCCTTTTATTGCTTTGTTGGTTGACAACTGTTTATAGCAATGGACGACACGCAGTTTGATAAGCTTATTGAACAGGGCAAAGCCTTTGGCTTTGTAGGCAAGGAGTTATAATTTCGTCGAAAAGAACGAAATAGACTTAGAGAGGAGCGCGATGCCGAACGCATTAAGTACAGGCAACATCTGGAATTTTGATGGAACAGGAGCGAGAAAATTCAAGACTTAGAATTCAGAGGGAAAAAGAGCGCTTGAGACTGTGTGCTACGCAGGCGGACCCCTGCTCAGGCTCTGAAATTTCTAATAGCGCGACCGTCCATGCCCCGAACAAGTTGGCACAGTCGTACCATGAGTACGTTGAAAAACTGCGCCTGAAGATTCAAAGCAGGCGGCGCGAGTTTGAGGCTTTTGATGTAATGCATAAAAGATGCAAAGAGCCCGAATGTGTAGAGCCGGCGAAGGCCGGGCAGGCCGGTAGTACTTGGGAGGCGGACAGTAGGTTCATTCCTGAACCTAAAATGTTAGCTGCTGAAAGTCCCGTTGTGGCCACAAAGGCCACTGAAGGCCTCAGTGATGGCAACGAGGCGCTGTGCCTGGAGAGTCTTGTTAATGCAGAAATGCCATCTGTAATGGACTTGGCACAGCCACCCTGTTTGTGCGTCGCCATAGCAGCTAAATGTGAAGTTCGCAGTACCTCCGGCCCGGTAGGTGAGGACCCCTGTACAGAGAGCGGGGCACAGTCGGGTGCTGACGCGCACTGCGAGCTGGGCAATGTTGGGGCAAGTAGTTCTCCCAGGTGCGAGCGGCGCAGCCCTGAGGAAGACGCTTGCATTGTTCAGCCGTCGGTCAAGTTTCCCGCAAGTCAGGGTGTCCACAAATTAACGGAAAATCCCGACTGTATAGACTTTACAGCCGATGAGACAGGCGAGACAAGTTCCGCTCAGCAAATGTTGCAAGCGGACTTCTCGAAAGTGAGCACTGGGCAACGTGCAAAAAGAAAAAGACGCCGCACAAGCCGAAAGAAAACGAAGGCTGCAAAGCAACCGGGAAAATCGCGGATTGCCAAACGGCAATCAACGCAACGAAAGCATCGTTTGCGTTTTGTGGCATTCACCAGTCGAGTGGGTCACTATGCTTCAAACCGTCCGACAGATAGAGGGGTGAGGCAGACATTTGTTCGTGGAGCTCGCAAGAGCCGACCCCCTTCGCTCCATTATCCTGCTCGAAGCGCGGGCGCCTTGCGAGGCAGCGCCTTTCGGCCGAGCGACACGACGTGGTTCGGAGACCCGTTCCATAGAACGCGGTGACGACGAAGGCATGCCTCCGAGGTGTAGACCAACGGGAAACAGGCGTCCGTGTAGCGGCCGTACACGCTTTTGTCCGCCCGTTTGTTCGAACGGCTCCCCCAAGAGCGCGACCACCTCGAGCACGGATAAAGGTTACGTACATAGAAACTCAAAGGTGACCTTAAAGGCAAATGACTTGTGGGTTGAAACAATGTTCATTTATGTCTTTTGATTTAGGCTCATTCCATGAATGGGGGGACTAATAGCTTAGTTAATCTTTGGTTTTCTTGTGTCGTCTGTGTGTGTGTAGACGATGTTCTGTTGTTTCAACCTATTACCGTTCAGCTTGGAAAGCTTGTTTTAGGGACGTTGTTATTTTATTTATTTGGACTTTTAATTTAAGGTACTGCTTGGTCGTACAATTGAAGTAAATTACGGTACGCATGAGTGCACAAACATGGCGCTATGTTATTCAAGACTTTTCTTTCTATTATTATTTGAAATAGAGCGCTTTAGTGGACAGTAAGTTCAGGAACTGCGCGCAGGCGATCATTCCGAATAATTTTTCATTCATCCTTTCTGAAAGCTGCGTGTCATAAGTGACTTTTCAATACCACTTAAAGCGTGTATTGTTTTAATATGTGCCATGAAAGAATGCCTACGTGCCTTTTCCTTGAATCGTGCCGTATTTTTGAGACTTTCTTTTCGTGTTTCATGTGTGTGTCCGTGTCGTGGTGCGCGGGTTATGACATTCATCGTATGGTGACCGTGAAGCGTAGTGTGTCAGGTGTCCTCTGCGATGTCGTCCACGTCAGCGAAATGGTGCGCGCGAAAAAGAAAACGCATTGGTGGGCAACCGGAACACGGCAGGCTCTCGAACATCGAGCGTTTGTGATTTCCTTGAACATTACGAAGTAATATTCTTAAGAAGGGGGCTATGTCACAAACGACTCCAATTTTCGGAGCATCCGCGGGCCCCATCTTCAAGGAAGGGCGTTTTGTGTTGGGAGACGACATCCGGCGACTATAACGACCCAGTGTGGCGCCGGCTCGTCTTCCCTGCCCCTGACCGGAAGGGGAACCGGTGGTCTCAACAAGGAGAATTACTCCCAGATGAGACGGGAACACGTGTACGCCCCTGAAGAGGTTTAGACTGCATCGGCATAGGCAGTTGACGTACAGACAGCAACCAGTGCGGTCGTCGGTGTCGCGAGTCTCGCGTAGGCGGCGAGCACGGAGTGACCCGCGCAACGTATTGAGACGGCTGCAATTCCGGGCACCCTCGTCGTCTACCAAGCCGGCGAGACCTTCAGCGGCACCCGTCAACTCCCCTACGTGCACCAAGGGCTGGTTGGTCCGTATGGAACTTTTTATTGTGACTTTTTTGTTAAACCGTAAACTTGTTTAACCAGCCTTTTTTTTAAATATTTGTAGTGTGCGCTGCGTCGCACGTTTAAATTCTAAAGCGCCACCATGATCATTCTGTAATTAATTTATAGTGTCTCTCTCTTTTGATTTCCATCTTGTTGTTATTTTATTAATGTTCCGCATATTTGTCCTAGCCTGTATCTGTTGTAGTGTTTTAGCACCTTTGTTATATAGCTGTTGTTCTATCGCGCGTATCAGTTTTTCCTCCTTGTTATTTTTGTAATCTCCTGCCTTGGCCCCTGTTTCAATTAAATGTTTGTCTAAGTGTAATCAAACTCTGTGTCTGCTCTATGAGTGCGTCGGTCAGGCCCACACATCACCACACGTGCAACCCCGCACGGGTCGGCCAACCCGCAAATAAATTCGAAATGTGCCACTTCGAGGCCTTTCAGGCGTCGCAGGCCGAAGCGTAAAGCGGAAGCCTGCGAGTCTGCCGCACGTCGATGTTGGATCGGCGGGGCCTCACCAGAAGTGCGTGACAGGAGGGCTCCGGAAATTTCGACCACCTGGGGTTCTTTAACGTGCACCCAAATCCGAGTACACGGCTTCTGTCTTATTCTATAGCTCAACCTAGGTACAGTTAGTTTACTAATTACTGATGCCATGTCTGCATGCTACTCGTGGCTATCACAATGAAAATTTTGCACTGGTGGTTCCCAAGTTGACTAATACCCTTACAACTATAGCCAATTGTAAAGATAATCCGTTCTGCGACAAATAGTCCCTATAGAAGCCCGAACTGCTATAAATGGCATTTTACTCAAACAGAATCTCCATTTGATAACCCAACAAGTCTATCTCACCTCATGGGACCGAAAGCGCGAGTCATCCAGCTTCTTGACAGCATATTTCATGTCCTCATATCGGAGGAACTCCACGACACCAGTACCATCCTTGAACACATCAGCATAGCAAACATCACCAGCCTCCCGCATGTGATCCTTCAGGTCCTGCCAGCTGCCACTAGGGGGCAAACCTACACAAATAAGCAGATACAGATTCCTCACATACAGCTAAAAAAAAAAACTGCATCGGGTATGAAGCCTGTTGAGTACTACAAAACAGCACTGTCAAGGCTCACTAAATGAAACTATGAGGTGCATTTACAACTTGGAGTCAATGTAACAAGTAAAAAAAAAATGTTGCTCAAGAGAACTGAATGAAATCCTAGCCAGTTAGTGGTCATAGACCAGGTTATAAGGCAGAAATGGCAAATTAAGCAGGAATTCCAAGCAAGCCAAGTTCATGAAACAAGCTCTTCTCAAATCTTCCGCACAGTTTATTCAGTTTGACGCCATCACATATGAAACACTTATTCAGATTTTAGATCATGCGTGTACAGTAAGCCAACTTGCCCAGATAATGTAAAATGCAGCACAGCTGCAGTCTCCAAATAGCAACACATTTGAGATACTGGATGGCAGAGCAAAAAAATACTGCCCCAATTTTTAAAATCTGGCTAGCACGCTAAAACGTAGGCGAAATCTGGTGTGATTGCCAGATGAGGGCCCTGGAACTTGAGTGTGACGACTGCTGCACTTAGGAACCCTACGTACCTGAAACAAGAACTCTGTACTGGGACCTCCGGGCAGGAGGACCTCTGCCCCTGCCGGGTCCCATGCTGCCTCGCCCGGGTGCAGAGCCCCGGGGGAATTCCACACGCAAGCGGTAGCCATCATAGTCATAGCCATCTCGGGCTTGCACCGCATCCTCTGCATCTCTGTCACAGAAAAATAAGCAAAGTGGTCAAGTAAAATCAGATTGTATTCTGGAAGTTTGTGCGACCACCTTAAAATGTCACCGATATACTGCACAATAATGAAGAAGCATGGTTTAAGGATAGAGAAAGAAGTGCTAACTTGACGTGCAGAATATTAGCAGACGCAAATTAAAGAGACAATAAAGTCAAATAATTCACGTCGGTAAAGCTCACTGTTATCACAGTGCCCTACTTACCGATAAAATCAGGTAAATGCCCGAGATACATGCGTCGCAGTAGGAAAATTTCAAAATGATCTCGACGACTTCAGACAACCACATAAAATTAATCACTAGTAATCTATCTAGCTGCACTGAATAAAGACTAAATAAAAAACCTTCCGAGCATCAAGAGATGTAAATAAAATGCTGCCTGTTCGTCTCTGATTCATGAAAAAGAGAACCGCCAGACGTTACTATGGGGAATGGCACGACTGATTTAAAAGTACAACTTTCGCCCGGTTAAACTGGAGAGCTTGTGCTATCTAGCGGAGCCCAGTTAAACCAAGCACGCCTGCCATTATGAAGGCCATGGCTAAAAATTGTTCAATGACAGTTGATGCTGTGGCTCCCGCTACTTTCCCTTTTACTATAGTGTCAGCGGCCGTGCATTACAGCTGGGCAATGTGCACAACAGCGACGCGAGACGTTACATTGAGGCGTGTAATTGAAGCGAGTCAGTTCGTTGCGGACACCGAAACGAGATTTTGTTTCAAAATAAGCCCTTCCTTGGCACAAATGTAACACTGCAAGGTTTCTGGACCGCTATTTTCAACAATCGTAGACTAGTTGCCTTTCCTGTCCCTATAAGAAACACCCTACCAAATCAGGCAACACTGTTACAACAGAAAGTGATGTAATCATTACTGCAAATTTATAACGATAATTTGTTTGGCTAAGGGGTCCGTTCCGTGCAATGCCACAAAATGTACCTACCAAGAGCAGATACAGGAGCAAGTTGGCATTACATCTGTTACATGTTTGTGGTGTGTTCAGTTTGTCCATGTATGATAAACAGTGCGAGTACCTAAAAAAAATAGTTTCCAGCTATATGAAAGGGAACACAACAATGCGCTTCCAGAGCAATTATGTTGCGTGCGGATATGGATATGACTTATTTGCAAACAGGCCCGTTATGCGGGACATTCGGTGGTATGAAGAAACGCCGTGGTCGCTGCCAGTGGCAAGTGATCATAATCTACTTTCAGTCAGCAATGCACACACTTCATCGAAAACCCAGCTCTACCGTTTCACCACTTTGGTTCAGCACTACTAAAGCTCCAAGGTGTAAGAAAGCCACACGAATGCACAGTGAAACGTAGTTCCATATATAAGTGCCTAGAAAATGGCAGGGTTGTTTAAAATTTGCATTTGCTTGGTGTGTGTGTTGCGCTAAATCAATACATATATGTTTTTTTCTTCATCGCATTTAGTTGCTACACATTTATTTACTTGTGTCTGTTTACCTGCAGGAACTATGGTTACAAATCAACATGGCAGCCCCTATGCAGAAGCGACCACCCAATTCTATCTGAACTTGCTCCCACTAAATCTCCACAGCACTGACAGCAACAAATAAATTGTGAAATCAGCCATCGATTTGTTTCATCTTGCTCTGAAGATGAAGCATCAGGTACGTTTGGTCGTTATTAGCGAGATATGCTGCTTGCGTAGCCGTATCTGAGAAGCCCAATGCGCAGAGGCCAGGGCTTGGGCTGTGTCGCCAGACCAACGCTGCATCTCCAATTATCAGACATGCGACCTCGCGCAGCGTTCCACACGTGTCGGATGCTCCTTCGGTGAAACAAAAAAAAGATACAAAAGAAGCATTGCTGCGAGAGATCTGAGAAAATGCTTCGATGGAGAAGCAGTCATGCCAGAGCCACGAAGAGTGTCAAAGTGAAGTTATCTTCTGGCATGAGCATCTACCGATGTTCAGTAGAGCCACAAGTAGTTGAGATGCCTAACTTCCTGAAGTTGAAGTGTAATGGCTTGGTTGGCAGTTTTACTTATATTTTAAAAGTTAATAAACCATCCATGTTACATGCAATGAGCGCGCAAGGACAATTAGGCGAGCAGATGACACGGCACAGATGAATACATGCGGAGGGGCTAATTGCCTTTCCTATTGGCTGGGGCGCCCTGTAGCCTCCACAGTGCTGATAGAACTTCTGGAACAGTATAGTTCGGACACACCTAGGCCCACGGTCATAGGAGAATGCCATTCGGCAAAGAATGTAGGAAACTGATATGGGCCAACACATCTACTTGAATGTTCAAAACCACTCTATGGGCTGCAGTGCTGCCGATTACTCGTCCTTTAATGATACATAAGACATTGCCTCTCAACGATATTGCATACCATTTCCAAGCACGCATGCACAGGTCAGCTGCGAAGAGATTTCCATTTAAGACAGCAAATCGTGGCTCTCATTTGAGACGAAAAAGTATTTGCAAAGTATTTCACAAAGCAGAATGTGGTACAGTCCCAGCGTCCCACCGATTTCGTAAGCGCGCATTATTCGCGTGACGCCCTTGGGTAATCCAGTCACTAAAATGCACAAATTGACTGGAGCGACGAGCTTCTCGTTACGCCCTTCAAGGTCTAGAATATGCAATTGAATGAAATTTATTCGCCCAGAATACCCCCCCCCCCCCACTTCGCATGTCGGAATCATTCCCAGCGAGCGGCTCCTTAATTTAGTTTTCTCGACCCACACCTATTCGATGCGCCGTCATTCGTGTTGCGAATCACCGTTGTCCACGTTGTCCAACACCAAACAAACCAGCTGTCCAATGCAACAGCTGCAACTCAGTCATGTCGGGTCCCTCATTTTATAAAAGGCGCTTCCGTCCACGCTCTTTGCAGTGCGAACAATGCCGCGATGGCATCTTCCGTAATTGCAGCCAGCAAAAAGCGGCTGTCCAGCTATATCGATAGACAGAAAGAAAAAAAGACTGCTCTCCTACCACTACTGATAGCAAATAGAAGGGGGTGGTACGCAGTCGCTTTATCTGTCTGAACTGGCGAAAGTTACGCTAGAGGCTGCTGCAAGTCTGACGACGCGCAAAATTGCGTTACAACCGAAAAATATGCTTACATCTGCAGTAAACAATGTTCTTCTACAATGCACACATAGCAGTCAAATGCCTGTGTGTGCTCCACGAGCTTCGTCATGGCACAGTTCCGACATTTCTGAAGTAAACGCGCGCAAGCCCCCGCATTCGCGGTAAAGATTGCGACAGCAAGGCGAGTCACAAGAGGCAGCTACCCAAGCAATGCAACACGGAAAACAAAATATATAAATGGATATCTAGGACAACAGCGCTAGACCAGAGCACCAAAACAATAGGGCAAGGGTGGTGCCCGGGCCGAAACCTTGAAACAGCTCAATGAGCGCGAGTGCCGCCCCGCAGCAAAAACAAAGCTGTTAATTACCACTTACTGCAGTCTTCCAAGTCAAGCAAATTCTAATGCACTAGCGCGCGCCTACAAAATTACGTAGGACGCTTACCTGGGGTCGTCGAATTCAACAAAAGCGAATGGCGGACCCCTGCGGTTCTTCAAGTCGATGAAAGTTATCTTGCCGAATTTGTAAAACAAATCCTCAATATCCTTGCTCCTGATGTCCGGGGGCAAATTTCCGACGTAGATCCTGCATTCGTTTCCTCGGAAAGACATGATGTCGAAGGATTGCCACCGATGGAACGCTAAGTACACGAAGACGTTTTTTGCTGCGCAATCGCAAGACTGTCGCCTCCCCGTCGCGTTTTCTCGCGATAAACGAGAACGCGCGAGCTTTGTCAACAAAATTATCTTTAGAATCAAAACAAAACTGCGGATGAACGCTTTCGCTATTAAACATCAATTTTAGAAAAGCTAAAAATAGTTATAATTTGAAGTGAAACATTTTATTAATTAACGTATAACGGAAAATTGAGATTATTGACGTCACCAGACCTTTTGCGTGCCGCAGTTTGCTTCAGCCAATGATAGCATTTGTTGTCGTTCCGTGGTCGAACTTGGATCTTCGGTCAGCGTTTCGGGCGAGTTTGCTAATTTTTTCTCGTCTTCATGTGCATATCAGTTCTCTTGCGCAACGGGTTGTTTCTATCCGCGAAACAATAACATAGCTAGAAACCCGGAGTGATCTCGTTGTAATGTACCTGCAAGACCTGGCAGATTTCGCATCCATGCATAAAGAAAGCGGCAACGACGTCGACTACGATGACAACAGCATCGACTGCGACGACTTACTCGATCACGACGATAGGGATTCGGACGAAGGTGGGTAAACAAAATGACCGCCCTCGTTGTTGTTGTTGTTGTTGCCCCTTCGCACTGGCACATACCCACTATGGGGGATTGGCCATGAAATCTAGAAGTATCCTAAATGAGATATATTAAAAGGTTTATCCTTAATGAAAAAACTAATGATGAATAGAAAATAATAATTAACTAAAAAGGAATATTAAACTAAACAAATAATTGAAGATTGAATCAAGAAGAGAAAAGGTGAGGTAATACTACAGTGGAAGACAGAAATTTTGAGTAGACCAGACAATCGAGCTTATCTCACCCGGTCACAATCAAATGAATATGCAAATTTCATTCAAAATTAGACAAGTGTCGTCAGAAATATATTTAAGCAGGCATTATTATGACATGCGCTTTGATTCTCGAATGAAATTGCATACAGCATCGAATACGCTCCTGTGGCAATGTCCCAAGCTAAAGGCACCGAAACTTAGAACATTATCTGCAGTTAAATTTAAACCTACTGCTTGAAAAGGAACAATTAAAAGTCTTTTCCTAATTAATGAATAGTTTTTACATGTTATAAAGTAATGCTCTATTGTTTCCGTTTCTTCACAGAATGGACACAGGGGGGATATCGCCAGACCAGCTCTGTGCAAGTAAAAGTTTAATGGAGGGACACGGCATCGAAATTTGGTTAAAATAACTTCTAACTTTTTAGATTGACTCCACTGAGGTTTCCAGGGGTATGTTAGGTGCTGTACTACTCTCACAGCTTCAGAACAATCAAGAGCTCTAGCGACATTACAAACATTAGTTCCACCTCATGTGAAGTTCCTGAAGTTAGTCTGGGTCCCGGGACACTGTGGCATACGGTTGAATGAAATAGCCGATTCACTATCTCGAGCCACACTTGATGGCCCTGTGATCTCGGTACTACCAGAATCGGAACACATAGTGTCGATCAGATATAGAAAATGGGCTATTTATACGGATATTATGGAAAATATTACTAAATATACGGACCGCCCTCATGTGCGTCTATTCTTCCTTCTCTTTTACTTCCCGGGTACGCGAGATTACAGCAACCCATGTGCAGGCCTGACCGAGTGCCGATGCATCTCGACTTCGAAGGAAAAAAAAAAAGCAGTCTAAGCGTGGCCGCGGGAGCCATGTCGAAAAATTTTGAAATGGTTTCAACTTTCGTTTTTTCTAACTCATGCTGTTGGTGGAAGGCGCGGCGGCTAATAGTTTTGTGTGCATTGTTGCGCTTCCAATCGTCGACCAGTGTGTTTAGGACTTGGCGAACGCTTCGGTGTAAAACATTTGACTGCAGGTAGAATCGAGCCGATAACCCAGTGGACTCGGCGGCACTCACTCGACAGCTTTAACTTCTGAGCATGCTAGGGTCCAGTACGTTCGTGCAGTGTCTGACCCGCAGAGCACTTCGTGGTGTGACGACGTGTAATTGTGGTTCGTGTTGTTTTCCCTCCGCAGACACTGAAGATGCAAGCGAGACGGACATGGTCAAGCAGCGCGAAGAGGAGTGCACCGAAATCAAGGAGCAGTAAGCTCGCATGTGTCCATCTTGAGAAAATTCGTAACGCTGAGACGGTTTCTCGTGCTAACTGCGACCGTTTTATTGCGCAGCGCACTCACGCGAGACGGTGTGAGCAGCTGTTTGACACTGTGAAGCTTCTTTACAGCTGCGCAAATGCCGAGCGTGGCTGATGACGTCATAGCATCTACATTACTGTCGGCCACTTTACGCCGTGCGCGGCGCTGCCGTTGCTGTGCGTAACGTCAGCTGGTTGTTCGCGCACGAAAGAACCGCTTGCGTGGACTAAAATGAATGTAATATGTCAGTTTGGTTTTTTTTGTATTTTTTTACTTCTCGTAGTACCTTGCAGATGCAACGCACCATTTTTCCATAGTATCTGCTTATTTTTATTTGAGAAGTCAACCAAGCAAGTGTTGTGCTTTTATGTAAATTAATCTTTGTTTCCTAAAAAGAAAATGTTGGGAAGATCACAAAGCTTTATATTCTGCATTATTCCCAATAGGGGTCCCTGTCCATTGGAGCGATTGTTTTTTCTACTTGATTTGATTGATATGTGGGGTTTAACGTCCCAAAACCACTATATGATTATGAGAGACGCCGTAGTGGAGGGCTCCGGAAATTCAGACCACCTGGGGTTCTTTAACGTGCACCCAAATCTGAGCACACGGGCCTACAACATTTCCGCCTCCATCGGAAATGCAGCCGCCGCAGCCGGGATTCGAACCCGCGCCCTGCGGGTCAGCAGCCGAGTACCTTAGCCACTAGACCATCGCGGCGGGGCTTGTTTTTTCTACTTAGCTACTTTACAGAGTGCATCGCTTTCCGTTTTTGTTCCTGATTATTTGTACAGTGATTCCACAGAAGGCCGTGTTGTTGTATTATATATTAATGTATTGCTTTTCACCTCGAAAGTTGCTTTGTTCTCGTTAGGTGGTGAACTTGAAGCATATTTGCGTTTATCTTTGTTGCTGTGCTGTGCCCTAACATCATAAATTGCTAAAGAAATTCTGTGAAGTTTGGAAAGAAAACAAAGAGTTTATAAGTGGTGATTTATGTTCAATGATCTTTTTAAAAGTTGTTTATTCTGGCATACCGAAAGAGGACATTTGGTTGATGAGAATGTTGGGAAATGCCTGCGATACATTTGAGTTTGATGTCAATGTTGGTCTCAATAGGAGTGGCCAGTTACACTTATAGTAAGCAGATTTGGGCTTATTTTTTCGCCAACTCACTTGTAAAATATTCCTGTCACTTTTTGCATTTTGTTTGAGCTCATTTGCATTTTTCTAGCAAATGTAGCTTGTTTTTTAGTGATCATCACGTTTCCCAGTGCACATTTGTCATTCATTAATAACGTGTTTGTTAATGACCGAGCAAAAGCGTCTGCAGGGTTCCCCACCAAAGGAGCTGAAAATTCATCGCAGTGAACTATTGCCCCCTTCTGAGTCGTAACCCTGCGCATGCCTGGGTGTGAATGCGTGACCATCGTTGTTGCCTGTAGCAATTGAAATGTTGTACTGCTATGTGTGCAGATAAAAATCCATTGAGCAGCAAAACATTTAGGAGAGAGCATTGTGCAATGATATATTAAGAAAGAAAATCAGTACATTGGGCGCACACACACCAAGCTTCTCTTACCCTTATTTCACGAATCAGGCAAAATCTCTTGAATATTCTTTTTATTAGCCATTTATAAGCGCTTGTGCACATTAGTCTTAAAATGCACTGAGGACGAGCACTCGTCCTACCATTCTTACCTGTGTGCTGTCTGTCCATGTTGTTGTACAGTTGTGGGTTCGCAGGGCTGTTTAGCCCTGTTTAAGGCGAACAAGCAAAGTCGTTTGAATCACAAGTGACATGGTTCTTCTGATGCAATGCCTAGCTTGAACACCCGACAGTTGTTTGATCTGGGACGACCTGATTTTACTTTCAGAATGTACAGGGACAAGCTCGCCATGCTGAAGAAACAGCTAACACAGCTCAAGGAGGAAACACACCCCGAGTACCTCAAACGCTTGCGCAAGATTGAGCAACTCTACCAAGAGCGGCTTTTTCTGAACGAGGTGTTCCAGTCTCACGAGGTGCGTCAGTGTCTGCCGCCACCGTGCCCTTTGTCAAGCAGCAGTGTTTTCCGGGATTTGGACATTGTTGTCTTCTGATCTGCCGAGTACTGAGGATAGTGCACAGAAAATTGGAAGGATGTACTGCATAATGCACGATCTAAGTTTAATAAGTTCTACATGGGACGTCTTGATACATTTTCTGATAACAGCTATTTCCTGAAGTAGCGAGAAGAAACGCAGTAATCTGTCTTTTTTGTTGTTATTGTACGCAATCATGCCACTTTTATTATGGAGTCTTACGTAGTTACGCTTTCACAAAATGTGGTACTAGCTTAATGACATATTTGTTGTGCACTAGTACAGGTGGGGAAAATTTCAGGTTTACTTTGTGCATTCAGTGACTCCTTATATCAAGTATGGTCTCTTCGTACCACAATTTGACAGGATCCAGTGCAAAAAGTAGCACACTTGTACGAACCTGTCTTGGAAATTAAGCATAAAATAAACTTTTGTCTCAATTATTGTTAGATCTACTCTTTGGCTCTTCAATGTTCTCTTTTGTTTTCTTGCAATCCTCCATCTTAGGTTGAGCGCGTGGAGCGAGAATACTTGCATGAGAAGAAAGCAGCTGTTCGTGAATTTGAAGAGAAGAAGATAGACCTGCGTGAATCGCTCATAATGGATCTGGAAGAGAAGCGGCGCGCGATAGAAGCGGAGAGGAGCACCGTCGAGCTCACTGGAGGTAGGCTTGCATCCTGCACTGTGTGTCATTGTCATTTAGGCGATGGCAGTGGCATGTATACTGTGTCATTGTCATGTTGCCTGAAAAGAAATGTAGCCTCCCTGGCATGATTCAAAAAGCTGTGACAATGCACTTTGGCTCTTGAAATGGACCCCGCAA